TTGGTTGAATGAGTACGCAAGTATCAGAGTTTGCAAGACAACGCAACCACATTTTGCCTTCCATTTACACCCATTCACTGGCACGTGGTTTGGAAACAAAAATAGGCATTCACTTTAATCCTTAACTTCCCCTACTTTTTTTTGCATGACCCAGACTACCCCTTCCCAGTTCTCTCCAGTGTCCGGTCCCTCCTCACGCCTTCTCTGCCATCTCCTCTTGCATGCTTGTCGCGCTTCGATGCAGAGCGCCGACGCTCTCTCTCTCTCTCTCTCCTGAGTAGACGACCTCGGCCACTTGTCCATGCTCAGAACCTTCTCCAACGCATGCTAACCACGCCACTAATGCCTTCTTCCTTTATTTATGCACTCCCTCTCCTCTCTGCTCTTCTCTAGTCTCCACTACCCTACTCAGGCCTCCACCCCTCCTATTCCTGCTGCTGCATTCCCTCTCTCTTTGACTCTTTGTCGCATTTGCTCACATCTTCTGGGTCTGCGTTAGGTTAGGTTAGGGGACGCGCACAAACGGCAAAACCATCAGCACCCATTATGGCGTCAAGGGTGGTAACGATCAAGCAGGTGTTCCCTAGTGGGACGGAGTCGGAAGTTCTGAGAGTGGAGAAGGCCGTGCTCTCGCTGGTGGGGTACGATAACGGCGGTCAGACGGCCGGCGTCATTCGCACAGGCGAGTTCTCCATCGGGGTGGTTATGCAGACAATTAGTCCTATCTTGGTCACTGTGTGCATGGTGGGTGATCTTCAGTGGCCCATCACCAAGGACTCCCCGAGCCTGAGAGTTGGGTCAAGGAGCTTCGCGTTCGCAATGCCGGGGCTGCTGTATGGCCTCCAGTTTCCTGAAGACTGTAGCGAGCAAGCAATGCAGGTGCTCGAAAGGGTTTTGACGAGGTTCAGCCATTATGAAGACCATTCGCTTTCAGGCAGAGAATCGGGTAATCTGTTTTCTCTTAAATTAATTAATATGCTGTTTCTTTACTTACTAATCACATTCTTAATTAATGAACTTGGTAAACATCATTTAGGGTTTTTGGGGCTTAATTGTATCATGCATGGGTGGATTATTATGGGCCCATCTAAGAGTAACTTCCACTTCCTTTGCCATCCTTAAGGCTATGTTTGGTTTGGTAAGAGAGAAACTTCCACTTCCACTTCCTTTGATTGTAAATAAGCTAAGAGAGAAACACAACTAGTTGATGAAACTTCTTAATGAATTACATAACAAACTTCCCCTGTGAAAATACCAGGGGTTTGTTTCTCTCTTATTTTCTGTCAAACCAAACACAACCTAGGATTTTTTTATTACAATAAATACTCATTTACATGCATTTAGGTCTTTGTGTTCTCCTTGTAGTAGCATTAGCCTGCACTCAGTAGTAGTGTGGCATTTTTATCCATTTACCCAAAATTATTATTATTATTATTATTTAATATTAATATTATTATACACATGGGTTTTGTTTTTGATAAGCGACATTAATGTTGCTGCAAAGACTCCATATAAATATTGGAGAGAACAGCAAGCTTTGGGGGGGGGGGGGGTTGATGACTAGCCAAGCTTTCTATCTGAAAGCTGCCCTTATCCGGCTCATCCATCAGGGCAAGGGCATTTTAGTCAGTAAGTAAATTGTCTGAAGATATTTCCAATAGTTTATTTGAAATGGTTCACTCCCTCACCTTAACATGAGAAAGGCATTCTGGTCTTTTCATGAATTCACACATTTCCATGGACTCAAGTGCATTTTGTTTTGAGAATTCAGGCAGTTCTAAGGATCTTAAATTTTTGGGGTCAAATATTGACTTCAGTCCACTAACATTGTATTTAGTATTTACTAGGGCTACTGGGCCTGAATAAAAAGTCCAGCCCATCTACAGGTGGACTGGAGGCTTGTTATGATGGATTGATGGGCCATTTGTTAAGCAGTTCGGCTGTTTAGTTTAATTTCTGGCTCTGTCTGTCACAGGAACCAAATTTTTGGTGCCGGAAGCCGAACCAAGTTTCTGGTCTGCATCGCAGTCAAAGATTCGAGAACTCACAGACCCATTGCTCAATCAAATAGGCGCAGGCCCCGCCGGCAAATCACCGGCTCGTATGGGCGGCATGGACGAGGGATTGTTGAAGGCTATTCGTATGTCAGGGGTGACCAAATTGATCTCTAAAGCTGTCCTGGTCGGTGGTCTCCAGCCAGAGCACGTCGACATCTTCGACATGAGGCCACAGTCCAATGCCAACCAAAACGTGAATCTGTTGCGAGCGTTTGCTACCATTTTTGCATTTTCCGATCTCGTAGAAGCTGTGGAAGCAACTAGACTGGTTATCTCCGGCAACCGTCGATCACTGCCGCTGTTTCATCCAACATGGACGCCATTGCCAGGCATAAGAACTTGGAACATAAACAAGAAGGGGTTGCTTCTGCTGCTTCAAGTGTTAATTGCGTCGGCTTCAATCTACAACGACGAGGGGCTGGGAGCCATGGACAACACCACTGATCATGAAGAGAAGAGGAGGGCTAAAGTAGTGATGGATTCAGAACTAACAGAAGAAGAATCAAGAGTAGGAGAGCCGATGGAACACAAGGCAAAGTCGTCGGACGAGGCAAAGGAACAAGAGACTACTAGCAAAGAAGAAGAAGAAGAAGAAGAAGAAGAGACTGTAGCAGTGCGTGAGATCAGTTTTCCGATAATTGCTGTGGCTGGCAATGGAATTACAGGCCGTGGAGGGAAGAAACAAGTTAATGATAAATTGGAGAAGGCTTGCGTTGGTATGGAAGTTATTTGAGAGGTTCGCTATGGAGCAGTTAAGTAATGTTTGTGGGTTGAAAAATCATATTAGCTAGGCTTTCAAATTTGACTTGTTGAAAAATGAAAGGATTGTTATTAGCTAGTATGCACTACTTCTGTTCTCAGACAATTCTTAATTAGTGAGTGATTTTTTACCATTGAAATGGGATGTGCCAAAACCACTTATCTTTTATTAATGTTGGCAACAGTACTGAGTATCTCAACTGTTTTGATTAAATGAAACTTCTTTACAGAAAGAGACTGAACACTGAACGGACCTGGCCAACAAAAAAGAAGGCATGTTACAGAACAAACAACTTTGGATATTCTTAATTTCTTACTAGGGAACATAGATATAAGATGTGGGGCGAGAAAACCCACATTTGCAATTTGGGCCCCTCATAGCTTGCCAGAGGTAATAAGGATTGAGGACCCACCCACCATGGAGGGGTCAGGCAACAATAAAATCAGCGTTATCAGATCACTTTTATGTTGGCTAGTCAATCCTTACATTTGAAGGGGCCACGTAGTATTATTTTATCGGGTTAGTAGAATTAAAGTCAGGGCTGTCAATAGATTTCAATAGTCTGATCATATCTGATTTGACTAATGGCTACAAGAGGCCTCACAATGCAAGGTGCCATATGGTCTCTTGGCTGTTTGTAGCAGAGGTGCCATATGGTCTCTTGGCTGTTTGAAGCAGAAACTTGGGCCTGATGGAATGAGCGCTTATTTTGGGCAGGGATCATACCAAAAGTAAATATGAAATTAGAGAATAAGCAGTTATTTGAGAATTCTAAATTTTTGAACTTAAGGGGGTGTTCTGTTTTTTTTTTTTTTTTTTTTTTTTTTTGGATTTTGATAGGGGAAAAGTTGGTCAATGGTTTTCATTGACCAAGAATTTTATGTTTATTTTTCAGATTTATGTGGGAATCAGAGAAAGTTTATTTTCTTAGTATGATACTCATCTCTTAGGTGGGTAAAAAAATTTTCCACTTAGGGGGAAAGTTGTTAACACTTCAATGGGACAAAAATGCTCCTTTTAATAATAGATTTTTATGGTTAAAATAATCATTGCCTTATTTACCTAAGAAATAAAAGAACATGGGTAAATGTACTTATCTGGGTAAGTGTTTCCCAGGTAACATTTACCCGGGTAAGTAACTTACCGAAAAGTGAACGGGGCCTAAGTGCTTTTTAAATAAGTTTTTCTTTCCTTTCTCGCCTATCTTGACCCACTATGTCATTCTGAAAATACCTATAACTATTTAAATTAAGTGCTCGAAAAAGGAAAATCTATGATGTGGAAAAGATATGGTATGGAAAGACTTTTGACCAATCAAAACCCACCCATGAATTTTAATAAGCAATACCTTATTTGCTACACATTTGTGATTCCAATTTATTGGTAAGTTGTTTTTTGGATATATCTTTTCCATATCATAATTGAACCCATTTCGTGGTGGGTTATAATTGGTCAAAACTCTTTCCATACCATATCTTTCCCATATCATAGTGTTTGAAAATACCTATAACTAGTGTGTTTACAATTTACTGAGGGTTATGCGGGTTGTCTTGAGACCACATGGGCATGGCACGTTATAGCAGAAATCATTTGTTGGTTCTATTTCCTGTAATGGTTTTTGAACCATTGTTCATCGAGACTGTGGTCCAAAAACTAAGTCATCAGTTATATTTCAACCCCAAACTGCTTTTTTGCCAAAACCCATTGAATTGGTCATTTAATTTGAGCTATTGACCTATTAGACCCAATCAAATAATGATTTTTGGGTAATTTTTATTTGAACTTTTGAAGAGGATGTTCTGTAGTGTGGATGAGAAATTGATAAGTGTGGAGTAATCCACACCACATCACAGTTCACAGTTGTTCTGAACTATGGATAGATTGTATGGATCAAACTAGTCTACACCACACTTTTTGATTCCATGTATCTCATACATTTTATGGGAGATCCAAGTAGTTGATCATAAATGTCTAATTTTTGTATTTTATATGGTAAATAAATTGAAAAAAAGCATCAATATGTAGACAATAATTGCATTTTTTTTTAAATTTAAAAATATTATTTTAAATATAAAAAATAAAAAAATAATATTTTAAATATTATTTTATTGATAAAATATTAAAAATTAAAAATTATTAAAAGATTAAATAAAATGAGAGTAATTGAATCAATATAATATTGTGTGTTACACTGAAACCTTCCCACAAACTGTCCACACCATAGTGTAGACCATCCACGAGAAAATACACTATGGTGTGGTTCATCCATGTCCACGCTATTTTGTGTACAGTCCCCGTCCACATATAGCAAAACACTATATCTTATTATAAACCAAAATGGTCTCATCCACGATATTTATAGACTATCGAACTAAGCTGATTATTCAATCAAAATTGAAATTAAATAGTTGAATCGTTGACCCTGGTGACCAAAGCAATTACTGTTCCAAGTCGATCGGTTTTTAAAGTATTGCTTCTTATCTATACTTATTTCTGATATGGCCGAGAAAAATTTGACTGTCCACAAGGATTTTCCTGTGTGACATGCTAGTCCACATGGATTCTATAGGACAGCTAGCATGGCTATTTGACTAATCTGTCATAATGAGAGAGCCTGTGGATAGCCCATGCTGTTCGGTCATGTCACTCCTCCGACATGGTGGGATTGGCGATAGAAATGGATGTTGCAAGTTTCGATCAGGGCACATGGACAACTTTTGATATAGTTACCGGAATATTTATTAATTAAATATTCATTGAATGTGCTTTCTACCCCCGTTATTGGATAAAGGAGCATCTTTTGAGGCACTTCGGTCAATGCATTTATACATCCCTAGATTTTGATCCTCAAGTGTCCCAAACTTGTAATAACTGTATCTAAGGCAAAGAAGTTGGAAAACACTCTAATACCTAATAACCTTCTTATCTAATAGCTCAAGCTTTTGCATTGAACAGTACATTGAGACGGACGGTATAAGAACCTATTTGACGAAATGATTTGGTGTCCAATCTTGGTAAGGATCTTTTACCAATAAAACGCTACCTATTCTATCCAAACAGGCCACTGCAGATACACATCCGAAACCATGGTTTTCAAAACTGGATTGGATTGGACGGTTGGACCAGAAAAACTAAGAATCGGTCAGGTAACTGCTTCCGTTTTCCCCGGTTCCGTTTTTCCCAAAAATTAGATTTTCTCTTAAAACCATTGATTTTAGTCAGTGAACCATTGAATCGGGCGATTAACTGTTCGAACAGTTTTGACTGTTTTTTATTTATTTTTTAATTTTTCTGTCATAATGGGCTGAACATTCGATTTAAACGATTAGGCTGTTCGACCCGATAACCAAACCCCTAACCGATTCAGTTTCCGAGTCAGTTTTAAAAACCATGTTGGAAACATAAAAATCTCTCTTATCATTCTCATTCATGAGAAGATGCTCAATGTATGACTGCAATGGCCGATGGGGACGTTAGTTGGTCCAAACTCGTTCAATCCTCATCGCCTCCATTATTATCAATTAGATGACTCATCATATGGGTGGACCCGTGCTTTTACATCCATGTTTGGAGCTTTCAGATGACTCATCATATGCGTGTGTATTAATTATTTCACATAGTGAGCAATCAGATGATAAATGTCATAGTTAGATTGGATTCCAACTGGACTTTTTTAGGCCTCTTATTTTCTATCAGATTCACCAAACACAGGATTAGGGTTATCTTGTTTTACTTTTATGTGACATAGACCAGACCGTGCTTTTCAAAACCAGATCGGACCGAAAAACCAGGAACCAGTCAGGTGACTGGTTCCGTTTCCCCCCGAAACCGGATTTCCTCAAAAAGTCATTGATTTTGATCAGCAAATTGTTGAACCGGGCGATTAATCGTTCGAACCGTTTGATTAAAGCGTTTTTTTTTTTTTTTTCATGTGCTTTCCCCCATGCCTTTTCGTGTGAAGATATGATGAAAAATGTAAAAAAACTCTATTTGGAGCTTCCTAGAAATAACTAGAATAGACTTTGAACGTCTTTTTAAAATAGCATCTTTTCATGACTAGATAATTTCCCAACTAAACAAGAAAAGGCTAAAACACAGGCTGCCAAATTTCTAAACCAACAGCCCGTGTAAAATGGTTCTATACCAAGAAACTACAATTTTCTTGTCATTTTGCCCTTCTTTAATATGGTAAATGGTCTTAAAGTTGGAATATCTCTAGATTTACGTATTCGAATAAAATAGGTTCAGATGCTACATTTCTCTTTTCTGTTTGCCCTATTCTTTAATACGCTACATTTATTCTTTAGATCCTGTCCAAATGGAGTGATTTCAACAACTCATCCTTTGCCATATCTTTTGCCTCGTTTGGAGAATAATTGACTACTTGATGTTGTTTCTCTTTGGTTCCTTGTAGTGGAGATTTTGGGATCAAAATCCCCAATGCCACAAGGTTGTGGGTGGGGGGTATGGGTATGGGCAAGATCAAAATATCGTAATGTATTGAGATGTATCGGTTAATACGTGCCTTGGGTAGGGGAGAAGGACGATCCTCCTCCGTTGTGTAGTATTGTGAACTAAAAAAATGGGGATGGATTTATGGAGTGAAGCAGTAAGAAATGATTTAAATACTCAAAAAAAATTAGAAAAGATATTACATTAAATAGAATAGAATGGCGAAATAGAATTCATTTAATTCACCCCATATAATTGGGGGAAAGGCTTAAACGGAGTATCTTTATATAATAATCAAAACGGGGTATCTTTGTTTGGGAAAATATCAAAGAAGGGCAGTGCTACTGTTGATCATCTTCCTCTGCCGCTGTATAAGTCCTTTGGCGATGTCCTATAATTGTGTGTTTGATCTCCTTCTACAAGAACCTTTGTTGTCTCGAGGAACTTGCTTTTGTTCCGCTCTTAATGGCACATATGGCTGATGGATTGAAGGTCTTGGTCCGGCTGAGAGGTTGTCACTTGACTTAGATCTAGTTATCGATGGCAAACGTTAACAGAGAAGGGTTTGCCATGACGAGCAAGACGAACTCATGGCTTATTTGAGGGCAAATACAGAGTGATTGCAGATTCCCCGTAAATGTTAACAAATAAGGGTTTGCAATGAGTTATTGACGGCAAACCTCACTCGCCATTAGTTATCGACAACAAACATGACTCGCTTAGCGCAAGTTTAAGAGGAGGAAGACGAATGCCCTTATTTGATATTTTTCAAAAAAAAATCTCATTTCGATTATTATATAAAAAATATTATTTTTATTGATATTAAGGGTGGAAAGTTGCCTTAATGACTAAAAACCCTAACATATTTGTTAAGGTTCGGTTCGAAAAAAGTATAAATACAAATATATACAATATAAATACATATGAAATAGTACAAATATAAGATTTTACACTACATATTTGTATTTGTATTCTTACCAAAGGGAGCCTAAAAAGGGAAGTTGTTAGAAAACAAATAGGTTTTATGGTGAAACAGTATGCCCATATGTGGTCGGGTTTATCTATTCATTTGGCCAAAATGATAAAATTGTAAGACTCCGAGCAGACAGACATAAAACTCGAATGCTTATAATTGAGTCAAACTCTTGCAACACTAAAGAATCTCAATCAAATAATGTGTTTTTGTCTGAGAGTCGAGAGAGAGAACTTAGATATCCATTCTAACAAGTTAATAAAATTATGTAATCTTCAGTATAAAATTACACATATTTAACAGACCATTTGTCTTCTGAGCCATGGCAACCACCTTGTATGAACAAATCCAAATATCTGGCCGGAAAATCACACATGCCCCATTAGTGGTACTCCACTTAGTTGCCCGTGCCACCTGGTTTTCTGTCAGATTCCAATGACGGAGTACTTCTTGGATGTATCTTTTTGGCCCTCCATGATTTGCCACTACTGGGTTTCTCTTCATGGGACGACGCCTTTTCTCCTTTCTCCTTTCTTTCTTCTTCCTTTTTCTTCATCTTCTCTTTGTGCAGCTTTCGCATAACGTAAACTTCAGCGAAACTAGCTCCCATGGACGACATCGCCGGGAATTTAAGCAGCCGGAATTACAATCTGCTGCAGGTCAGAATAGGAAGACGTCTGAGATGGATGATTGGTACTTTGGTAGGTAGGTTGGTGTCTTTGTGAATGAAGGGGGAGTGGGAGGGCCGAAGGGGGGAATTTATAGGAGCAAAAAAGCTGCCTTGTTGAGCAAGTCATCACGTGCGTTAACGATGTTAGTGTGTCTCACGGCTGACGTTAGACGATTTACTTATTTTTTATTATTATTATTTTCTCTAACGGCCGTCTAGAGTTTGCGAGATGATCAAGTGGGAACACGAAATTGACTTTGACTTTCAATTTCGTTCCTTCAAGGAAGGACGAAACATGGAGAAACGAGGTTTCATCATCCACCATCGGAAGCAGCCTCTCGCTCCTTCGAGGAAGGAGAGGAAGTTTTTTCAGTAATACTACCAGAATGGACAATTTTGGAGTGGTAGAGGTTGAACACCTAGATCACCCAGCCAAACAATTAAACTCACTTTTGTTCTAGTTCGGCTTTGAGTTGACTTGGTGGATTCGGCCGAGTTAACTCGTAACACATTCTTTGTTTTGGCTATTTGGGCCTAAGAGGAGGGATGGGTAATTGGGGCCCCAAAGAGGTTCTGAAGAAAAAATCTTTCCTCCACAGAAATATTAGTGTTAGAGAGAGGGAATCTTGGGCTCCAAGTTTTATGAAAAGGTCATTATCCAATGTTGCCCCAGTTATCTGGGTCTTGGGAGGGATGGATTGGATATAGTCTTAACCTTTATCTTCTTCTTCTTCTTCTAGCACAATGTGGTCCACAACAGGCATACTTCAGTCACATCGTCTTATTTGGCACAACTCATGATTCCAAAAATTGTTTTGTTCAATGAATCTATTAAGGGCCTGTTCATCAATATTTATGATTTTTTTTTTAAACATAAGTTGTTAGAGAAACTCATGTATGCTTATGCTTATGTGGCAATTTTTTCTTTTCTAAAACAAAAAACAAATGCAATATAACCATTTTAAAATTGTTTTTGCTGACATGGAAGTTGTTTTTATTTTGGAAAACAAAACCATTCACATTATTGAGGAACACCCACTTAATATGGTGCTTTATTTTTCCAGTGACTGAGTGCATCCCGTGTGCTTAGATCTGTTCCTGCCATTAACAAAATTCACATGCAGAGAGCAGTGGCCCATAGAGTAGATTTGAGCTAACATGACTAGAACTAGTTGATAATATATCATATTGTCAATGGTCCTCCTCTCAATGAGATTTATAAACTACAAGCAGAAGCAGATGGTTATCACTATTTGATTATATTTATAAATTGCATAGCTTAATTATGATCACTTGTCTTGACTTGATAAAAAATGTCACCATTATTGGAGAGTTGAGCATTCTGCATCAATGAACAATGATCACTGTGCTCTTGCTCTTATTACCATAACAATTGGTTGAGCAAAAGTTGCACAAGAACTTAATCCTATTCCTTCTTGGTGTCCTCCTAGTTGCCAATAAGGTTGCCCTGTGATGGTAGGATGCAATTCAGCCAAGTGGGCTGGGGCCCATCTAGAACTCAATTATTATTCTATAATAATGGTTTTCAACCCAAGCCCAACAAAACCATAGTTTATTAACCCCAACACCAAAGATTGTGCTAATACATAAGCCTGAGGTGGTTGAATGAATGATTTGTTGTTTTCTCTTTTGAATAAATCATTCAAAGATCTAAGTATTGATCCGTATCGGTGCATATCGTACAATATGTATTGGATTTTGAACCCACCAATGCATCAAATAATAAGAGATAGGAGGAAAACCCTTTTTCAGTCATTAATGCCTTCCTAAGTCATTATTTCTGGTTTGAATCTTGAAACCTGAAAATAAATCTGAGTATTGGCCCTGTAAATCGCATGATACACAATTTTTTTCATATGATACTTTGAACCATGGTAGGTTTTGGGTTCCTTATTAATGATGATCAGAGAGAGAATCTTTTAGCATTAGGTAAAATATAAAAATCTCCCTTAAAGTTTCTGACAATTATAAAAACCTCCTTTATAGTTTCATTTTGACAAATATTTCCCTGAACTCTTCAGAAGCTCAATAAAAAACTCCATTCTGTCACTGTCCCAAGCGGAAAACATTAAATATCCATTCTACCCTTTTATAAATTATTTTACATACAAAATTACTGAAATAATCCCATTTTAACTCAACAAAAAAAAACATATTTCAGTAATTTTGTATGTAAAATTACTAAAATAGTCGTTAAAAGAGGTTTTTGTTGAGTTAAAAAGGGGTTATTTCAGTAATTTTGTATATAAAATAATTTATAAAAGGATAGAATGGGTATTTAGAAAAAAACTGGTGCATCAATCTAATCTTTTCCATCTGGGACAGTGACGGAAGGGAGGTTTTTGTTGAATTTTTCAAAAGTTCAGGGAAGGCATTTGTTAAAATGAAACTATAGGGGAGAATTTTATGATTGTCAGAAACTTTAGGGGAGGTTTTTGTATTTTACCCTTTAGCATTCTATAATTTTTGAATCGCCATGGAGTGGGAAGATTTATGTAAAGGGCCTTTCAATTTGGATAAGAGAATGACAGACAACTAGTTAAAGTGGGAATGCAGGATATAGTGCAAAAGGTATTGAAATTTGAAAGGTGATTATCGAGTATCGACCTATCACCTAGTGAGCTTTTTTATATTGCGCAAAAATTTAACAGTTGGAAGGCCCACTCACTTCTTGCCACCCCACTCTTGTCACTCTCTAGTCTCTACATGGATACATGGTGGGGTGCATCTGCCTGAGACTTTGGCCCAAGTTTGGCTTCCATCCTCATCTGGATGGTGGAAAGTGAACGTTGATGTAGCAGTAACCAATCATAGCGCTGGTATGGGTATTATTGTACTGGATTCCTGTGGTGAGAACTTGGCTTTCCATAATCCAATACAATAATGGGAGGGTGATGGAGCTTGCGCCCAAAAATCACCTCCCCACTATTCTTATCTGTTTTGCTGCTGCTGAAGTTGATGCAATGGCTTTTCTAGAAGGATTAAAACTTTCTGCTAGTTTTAAGATGCAATGCTCTTTTGGTTGAATCAATTTGGCTTTTGCCTCCATAATTCAGTTCACTAGGTGTAATGTGCCTCAACAAATATTGGGATCTTGTTCAACCAATCATGTCACAGGTTTTGTCATATACAGCTAGCCCTCAATTCTCTCTTTTTGTGAGACAGTTTAACAGAAAATGACAAGCAACCATTGATTTGATATCTTAACCATATATGAATATGATGCCCACATTCCTCAAATTGAACTCATGGGTTTCTCATATTCCTTTATCTTCTCTTTTTCTGACATTTTTTTTTTATTTTAGGAAAATCACATTAAGTAAGGCATGCCCTAAATCATTGTGAATTCCTTCCAAGGATTCATCACTGCACTGTTTTTTTTTTCTTGTTTTTTGTCAATAATCAATAGATCATTCCTCTCATTTTATATTACAATATTTGAAAAACAATCAAACTTTACTCTCTGAAACAAAAAAGAAAAACTCTGTAAGGAGAACTTCAGACTAAAAACTGAGTGGTTTATATCAGTATTCATTTGAGCAGAAGTTGGAAGTGTGAAATAGGTTTATTTATCTATACAGATTTTTCAGCCTCTTTGAAGCTTCCAGGATGATTTCTCTGTGACCAAATGCACTAACTCTGACGTACTCTTCACCACCAGGGCCGAATCCCCTACCTGGAACTGTGACTACGTGTGTCTTCTCAAGAATCTCATCAAATACATCCCAAGATCTTGAACCCGGAAAATGAACCCAAATATAAGGAGCATTCTTTCCTCCATATGCCTTGAGGCCGAGCAATTCAAATGTATCAATTAGTATTTTGGCATTCTCCTTGTAGTAGTCAATTACCTGGCGTATGGCCTGAAAACAATTCATAGGCAGAAAGCAGAAATGTATAAACAAGATAATCCATTTCCAATTGAATGACAATTCCTATTAAAATGAACCACTCAGAGTCCAGAGACCAACCATTAGACCTTCTGGGGATAAGCAAGCAAGTCCCCCTGCTTGAGCAATACTTGATGCCCCATTAAAGCAGGTGTAGACAATGCGATTGAAGTCTTTTATGACAGGAAAGCCATTTGCAAATAGCAACTCTTCAGGGACCACTGTCCAACCAAGACGGACACCAGTGAAACCAGCAAACTTTGAGAAAGAAGAAACCTCAATTGCAACCTAATCAACAGCCAAAGAAAGTTCTCATGGGTTCAGTTCTTCACAGTCGAGACTTCAAGTAACTGGCTAAGATTGAAGTATTGCTAATCAAATCCAAAGCTGTATTACAACAATACCTCTCTTGCTCCAGGAATTTCAAAGATAGACCTTGGGCTGTTGTCGTCCGAGATATAAGCAGCATAGGCAGAGTCATAAATAATAATTGACCCATTTTTTCTTGCGAACTCCACTAGTTGCTCTAGTTGATTTCTTGATGCAGCATGACCAGTTGGGTTGTTTGGAGAGCAGAAGAAAATAACATCAGTTCTTGAAGTTGTCAACAGGTTTGGAAACAGGTTATTTTGAGGCCCACACTTCATATACTCAATATTCCAGTACTTCCCTGTTTCCTCTTGAAATTCACCAGCTTGACCTATTATAACACCCGAATATATGTATGCCTGTATCAAACATTTGTTTTTCATGAATCAAATTCGTTGTAGAAAATCCATGAAAAACCTTATTTCAAGAAAATCAATTGACATAATGCCTTAAGAAGACAGAATATGCATGTTGTTTGGAAAACAACATATACCTTCCTATTGGTTCAAACAAACAAACAGAGACCATATAAGCAAGAAGGTTAAACATTACCGGAAATGAGGGATCCTGCACGGCAATTGTTACATTTGATCCTAGAAGCAACTGCAGTTGGAATGCAGAGAAATAAGGATGTAACATTCATTGAGTAAGAAGTAAAACTCAACTATACAAACTCACAAGTCAGGTTCCATGTTCTCAATCTGATTCTGGGTTTGTGCATAAAGCTCCCCAACACAGAAATGCAAGCCCTAGTTTTCCAAATATTGAATTACCTGAAGGCGAGAAATGTCGCATTGTGCACCATCTGATACAAAAACCTCAGTGTCCTTCACCTTTAGACCTTTGTAGACTACATCTGCAATTGCCTTCCTTAATGCCTGCAGTGCAGTGCAATCCACATTGAAGATAAACACAAATTGGAAGTAAGACCTCACAGAGTCATGCTTATGAACAAATTCTGCTTAAATGATATGTTTCATACTATACAAACCAGTTTGAACACAATTAACCAACTACATTTGCCATTGAAATGGTTAATATGTTTGATTTTTCTCTCGAACTACATGAATCCTTTTATCACATATCAAGTACTTGCATTAAATAGGGCTGTTATTTTGTTTTAACTTTTATTTCAAAAGAAATTAATCTGAAGCTTGATCTACGTTCATTAGGAAGAACCCAAGAGTTGGACTAAAGCAGACCAGGCAAGGGTTTGCATTTGACTGGCTCTGCTCATGTCCGTCCCTAATAAAGGGATGCTACTATTACAGTATTACTAAAATAGCATAATCGAACTGTCCATGCTCGCCAATAAACACAGATTGGTTAAAGCTGCAAGTATAGAGCAATTTGACCGAAAGGAAAAACACTGTCAGAATAGAACAAATAACAGGCACCAGAACAAGAACAATGCATTACCTTGTTGCCATGCTCAGGTCCATACCCTCTATAGCCTTCAAGTGTTGACAGAGCTTGTGCTTGCTGTGAAAAAGTTTACCAGTTAGTATCCATTCCGTGGGAAAATGTTTCAACATGTTATAAAAATATAAAACATCATAACGTAATACAAATAGCTGGAATAGCTCAGTTGGTTAGAGCGTGTGGCTGTTAACCACAAGGTCGGAGGTTCAAGCCCTCCTTCTAGCGTAAAGATTTTATTTTTATAAACAATTGAATGAGAATCTTTTTGAAGTTAATTTATGAGATAAAAATTTAAGAGGGTAATTATCACTAACCCCTAGTAAGAGACAGTCTTTGTTGTAAATGAAAGCTCATGAGGTTAATTGACAGTACAGAAGTATTTATAATTTACCAACTTAAAGATTTTGGTCCCATATGTACAAACACCATTGGTTTGGATTTTTTTTTTTGTTTTTTAAGTGAGGCTAAAGGTAGATGAAATTCACTTGCGTCAGCAATGTAATAAAAGGATAAAAAACATTTTCTTCATACCTCAACCATGCTGGATGTGATGATGTCCGGGATGGGTTCAGTGGTATCACCAATCCCAAGGTTTATCAACTTAAAATTGGGGTACTTTTGCAAGTGTTCAGCTTCACGCATAGCAATCTGATAAATTCCATAGAAATGGTAAGAATCCAAGAGAACAGATGTAGAATGACATAATTGCATATCTCTCAGCTCTTATAAAATATTTAACCTACAAAATCCTACATCTATGGTCCATGGACAATAAGAATTTGAGTAGAAAGACAAAAAAATATAGCTAAGACTTATGTCAAAAATTTGAATGCACCATCCTACATAAGGGTGTCAATGGATCGGTTTTGGATTGGATCTCATTCGGTCTAAAATCAATTTGGATGGATCAATAAGACATATCGGATTGGATTTGATCCATATATAGTAAATTTATATCGGATTGGATTGGATTAAGCCAATATCTGATCCATTGATATAAGATAAGAATATAGGTGTCAGTCAACAGAGTTTAGGTTGAAATCAATCTAAATCAATACGAATTTGAACAGATTGAACAGTCCAGACATTGAATTGGACTAATCCAAAATAATTCAAAATATTCATTGGATTGAATTAGACCTGGACTCACATTGAACTGGATCTGATTGGACCAAATACAGTCCAATTGACACCCCTACTCCAACCTCATGGTCCCAGCCCAAAATAGTGTAAAATGCTAATAAAGGCCAATCAAAGTTGTCTCCCTAATACCTTAAGGTCCGATATGTCAAATACTTGCAATTAAGGGAAGTATATATGTTGAAAGTTTAATATCAATAGGGAGTAATCTATTACTGGAATAGACAACCACATAAAAATTAGAAAAAAAAAGAATATCAACCTAACAAGAGAGCCAATAATATTGATGCCATTACTAAACCTAAATCAATATATTATTCATGGATTATTTCAACACAAACAACTTTAATTATATTTATTCATGGATTATCAACCAAACAATGGCCAACCAATACAAGAGAAAGACCGTACGAGAAACCCTTGAAAAACCTGGGCCCGCCCCAACCCTCACACCCAGCCCAGCCCAACAGATTATTATCACCTTTAAAATAAAAGGTGACCTTTCTTCCCCTACCTCCCCTGCCTCTCTACCAGGCACGTTTATTGCGTGGGTGCACCACCACATCCTCATACAACTCTGCCAACCCACATGGCTATCTATGCTATCCAAAGACCAATCCGAATCGATTCCCATTATCGTGCTCACACCTAATACAGGCCTCCCTCTCAACCCACGACTCAACATAACAGTCAACACTCTTCTTTGTAACAAGATTAATGCAAGCAGATCCACCAGCTGGTTTTAAGGGATCCTTTGGACTAGGGCTGTCAATGGGTTGAGTCTGACCCGACAGACCCGAACCAATTGGGCAGGTTATGGTTATGGAACTGGAACTGACCCGATGGGTCCCGATGTAGGGTGTCGATTACTATTGGTTTGGAATCGATTCCACCTAGCCCCGAACCGATTCAGACTCAATTTGATATATATAATGTATAATATATTAAATAAATAAATTATATGTATATATTATATTATATAATATATATATATATATATATAACATTTAGGATAAATCTCTTAAACTATCTCTACTGTTCACGAAATTGACAAACTGTACCCTTACTGTTTATATATTGTCTTGTGGTACCTTTAAGTTTTCTGACAATTGACATTGTGGTTAAGTGCTAACAGAAGAGAACAAAATATCGAATTTATCCTCCACTATTCCTCAAATTTCATCCCCTATTTCACCGTCCGCCTCTACTCTCTCTCCATTCTCATACCTCCCCCTCCGCCTTTGGTCTCTCTCTCCTTCTTTCTGTATTCTTAGACCTCCCCTCTGCCTCTAAAATAATTGTGGGGATCCTTGTGGATAAAGCTGCAATGAATAATCCCCAGATGCCGGATCATCTGGGGACTTCAAAAATCAACCTCACACTGCTTTCTAGCAAATATGAGCCTCTACTGATTTGATGGGATTGTCAGCGATGAATACAGCAAGCACACACTCTCCAATGTTTCATACCGAAGAAGCGGCAACACCTCCTTGTTCGGTGGAATGCCTGAAGAGCTCTGACAACACTCTGTTATAATATGCAAGATTCCATCCATCCTCAAGCTGCTTTCCAGCAAAAATAATTCTCTTGTTGTCGTCTGTATCCTAGTGCATGAAGGGTCCGTCGTTGCTGTAACTTGTTGCAGCGGCGGTGATGAAATAGGGACGAGAGGGAATGGGGAAGAGAGAGAACAAAGGAGACAAAGGGGGGAAGAGAGAGAGAGAGAGAGAGAGAGAACGAAGGGGACGAAGAGAGAAAGGGAGGGAGGGAGCCCTTCGCCGGTGGCTGCCATCGCCAACAAGGGCTATGCCGAGAGGGAGAGAGAACGGAGGGAGGTTGCTTGGCGCAGGCGACGAACCCTTCATTCTCTCTCCCTCTTGGCACAACCTTCGCAGGCGACAGCAGCCACCGGCAGATGGCTCCCTCCCTCTCTTTCTCTCTTCCTCCCCTTTGTTCTCTCTCTCTCTCTCCCCCCATTCCCTCTCGCCCCTGTTTCATCACCGTCGTTGCTGCAAGTTGCAGCAATGGCGAACCTCTCCACACACTTGGATACAGACGGCCAGGTTCCTTTCCCGATCTCTCTCCTCTTCCCTCTCCCTTTCCTCCTCTTCTTCTCTTTCTCCTTCTTCCTCTCCTTTTCCTTTCTCCATCTTCATCTATGTTCATTGTCTTCTTGATGGTACCAAAATCACCACCACTGCTGCAACTTTCAATAGTAACGGTAAACAATAAGTGTATTTTATGGATTTTAAAATAATTATTACTCACGTGATGTCACATGTGAACAGAGTGTGACTGAAAATTAACAGCAAGGGAGGTTTTAGACAATTGTCAGAAAACTTAAAGGTACCGCAAGACAATATCTAAACAGTAAGGGTACAGTTTGTCAATTTTGTAAACAATAGGGGTAGTTTAATAGATTTACCCTAATATTTAATATATATTAAACATAAATATTTATTTTTTATTTATTATAATCAGGTCTATCGGGTCAAACCCAATTGTCCCAAGAACCAATCAATTCAGTTCAGGGTCCAAAAATTGTAGTCCTTATCGGTTCTAGTTCTAGGTCTGGGTTCACAACATTTCATGTTGGGTCGGTTCTGGATCCTGTTGATTCCGACTCAGACCCTACCCGTTGACAGGCCTACTTTGGACGAGCAAAGAGCCTTTACACTAAGAAGCTGAACCCTATCCTTCCTGGGGCCCAAATCATGTTTTAGCGGCCAGCATGCAAGTATTCCTTTAGCTGCTGGTTAGTCTCATCTCTCATCTATCATTAAAGCAATCGTGAGCCACAATTGGTTTCAGGCATACTTATAGATAGGGGTGTAAACGGATCGAATTTGAATCGGATTAGACAATATCCGAATTCGAATCCGACTAAAAAATCCGATATTCGACGAATATTAAAAATTAATATCCGAATTCGAATCCGATTAATTCAATTCGAATTTGATTAATTAATTTTTAGATAATTAATAAATATATAAAATAAATATTTTGTTGATACAAAGTATATAAATATATAAATTATTTATATAATTTAATTATTATATAAAATATTATTTATTTATTATATATAAGAATTAAATGATCGGTCAAATTCGGATATTTATTAAATCGAATCAGAATTCGAATCCGATTTACTATTTGGTAAGAATAAGATATCTGAATCCAACCGATTAAATATTCGAATGATCTGAATTCGATTCAATTATATCGAATTCGAAATCGAATTTTCAAATACCATTGACACCCTTAAATATAGAACCACCTCAGACTCAGCGATTTCCTTTTCCTGCTTCTGGCCACACATCTCTACCCAAGGCTACAAGTTTCAGACGTTAAACTCTAGAAAAGCACTACGTACGTACGCATCATGAAGCAAGGAAAAAAAAAAAGTGAATCAATAAGAGCATAACACAAAATTAAAATGTGGAAAAGGTTGAATTAATCCACAGACCTCAGGAAACAGATATCCATTCCTAAGCTTCTCTAAATTCTCATTACGAGGAACTCTCGTGCGATGATCTGCAATTGCATTGCAGTACTGTAAGTCAGACAAAAATTGAATGAAAACCCAAATTCAAATGTGAACCAGTACTCAAATTCTGATACAATACCAACTCTCCTCTGCTCCTTCTGGACAACCTCCCGACTGCAATAATAAAAGTGAAAAGCATGTTGAGTTCCCATGCAATAAAGCTTCTCAAAGTATGTAAGAATCAAACCACTGGAGCTCTCAAGAACATTCACTGACCTCTGCTGAACCATCCTTGGCTTAAGCATCACGGAGGGACGAATTGAAGTGCAAGCTGAGAGTTGAACTTGATACATTTTCAGATTCTTTTTCTTATTAGAGGTTTCGAAACCCAGCTGCTTCGTGCAACGATTGACAAATGAAATGATGCACTAGGTAGTGAGTAAAACTGAGCTTCAGTACTCAGACATTTAATTTATAGACTAACCCCAAGAATGGTCGTGAAGAGTTTGAAAATTAAATAAACATGGGCGTTTTGGAACTGACTTTGTCTCCTGAGAAAACAGTCAAAACTTTTCAGAAAAAAAAAAAAAAAACATGGGCTATTTCAGAAACCGGTGGCGGATCTGCTGGAAGAATCTTCTGCAGTAGTGGACCCAGGAATGAGCAGTCAGTTCATTTTCGACTTTTCCGTCGCCTGATTTCTAACTTTTCTTCTGTCTTGATCGCAGGTTATGAAACCAACGATGACGAAGGAAAATTCTTCTTGCTTTTCTTTTCTTTATTCTCTTTCTCCTACTGCTATTCGGCAATTTCTGCCAAATTTCCCTTGCTTTCAGATGTCTATAGCTAAATATAGATCAATTCTTGTGGCAGTTAACCCACCCAGTTGTCTGTATTGATTAAAGCTTCAACAGACAGTCTCCAACTTAATTTCTGCCAACTTTTCGAATCAGGTGTTATTTATCAAAATTCAGGGTGGGTTTTGATTGGTCAAAATTTTTTTTATATCACATTTTTCTTTTCTGCATCACAGATTTTCTCAAGTTTTGTACATGATTTTCAAAACCGGACCGGACCTAATGGTTGAACCGCAAAAACCGGGAACTGGTCAGATGATTGGTTCTGTTTTACCCCCAAACTGTTAATTTGCCCAAAAACATTGATTTGATCAGCAAACTGTTGACTCGGGCGGTTGAACCGTTCAAACTGTTCAGTGGTTTTGACCATTTTTTTTTATTTTTTTTTAATTTTTTTTGTTAGAACGGACCATCCATTCGGTTCAAACAGTTGGACTGTTCGACCTGGGAACCGGACCCCTGACCGGTTCATTGTCCGGTCCAGTTTTGAAAACCTTGGTTTTGCATAAAGAAATTGTATCCGTTGCTATGGATTATTTAGGTCCTGTTTGGTGCGCCCTTTCGCGCGGGCTCTCAGTTTTTAGAAGCCTGGCAGTCCGGGTTTTGGTATTTTCCTATTTGGTTGGGAAAAGATCTAGCCGTTGAAAGCCACGGCCCCGAAAAGACGTGGAAAGCCCATTTCGGGCTATTTTTGGGAAACTCTAAATGGAACTTTTCAGCTTTTTTTTCAACTTATCTTCACACAAACTGACATATGTTAACCAAACAGTCTTCAAACTATTAATATCTTGATGCAAAAATTCACATCGTCTTTTGATTATTAGAATTTCCAAAAAATCTTTCAAAAAATAACTTGCCAAACGTCCCCTTAATTAGCCAAAGGCTTTTAAATGTTAACACATTTGTTTAGTTATTCTATTTCTGAGCCATTATTTGGTGATATATCAAAAAGCTCTTTCTCTAATCACTCGTTTTGGGTTGATTCATTGTTTTAGTGTGAGGTAACTGTTTCCGTTTCTGTTCAACCCAGAAAGGGATATGATGTCGTGGGCAACTAAAATTGTTCATTAAATAGGAAATGATTTTATTAACACGCATTTACAACTTGGTTAGTGTCTAGTGATAAAGAAACCAGTACATGTGTAGTCCATTTAAATTTTCCTTTTGTTTCCTTTTTTTAGGATTTTTTTAGTTCAACCCACGAATGAGAAGGTGGTTGTGCCCAATTTGAACATGCTGCTTATATATCGGAAAAAAAAAACGTGCTTACATAGAGTAGCCCACATTCATGTATTTTTGTCATTCACCTTTTATTCCCTGGGCCCTTGTCTTTGGATGGTTATTTTGCTTAATCCTTTTGTGGCTAATTTAGTGGAAGAATTAAAATATCGATACAGTCAATATTATTCCTTTTGTGGCTAATTTAGTGGACTCATGCAAGAATTTATTAAACAAAAGCTAAATAGTAGAAAAGGGTATTTACGATAATACCCCTTATAATTTCATAGATTTACTAAAATCTACTCTATAGTTAAAGTTTTACTAAAACACCACTTATAATTTGCAATGGATTTAATCAATCTTCCATTAGATGATAGTGTTGACCCTAATGTTCATTTAAATAGATTTAATCAAAAGAAAATAAAAATAAAAATACAATTTTTGCCACTTTATAAGACACGGGCAACCACTCTGTTAGCTATATTTGATTAATTTTGTTTTCTGTACAAAAAAAAGTGTTAAGCGTATTTTTGGAATAAAAAATCATGGGCCTAATGGCAAAACAAATACTCCTTAATGAAAGGTTGATGAAGTAAATAAGTTGTAAAATATATGGGATGTTTTAATAAAATGAAAACTATAAGTTATGTATAAATAAATATGTAAAACTATAAGATGTGTTCTAGTAAATGACCCTAATAGAATCACATAAGAGTATCCAATTGTTTTATATTTTCAACTTTTTAAATAATTAATAATTATTCATATTTTATATACTGCTTTTGATAAATTTTTTATAATACAAAAGTAAAAATAATTAATTTCAGTTAGGTTTATTCATCAAATTGATGAAACCGACCAACCCGATCAACTGGACCCAAATTGGTCAGTTTTCTAGTATTTTAGGTCGGCTTTGGTTAAAAAATTTCCCAATTCAACTAAATTGGATCAATTTCACTTTGGCCATTTGTAAACCAACCAAAATCGAACGACCTAACCATTGATATATATTAATATTTTATATTTTAAATATAATTTTTAATATGGAAAAATGGGAAATTTCCCATATTTCTTAGTCTAAAATGTTTTATATCACAAATCTAATTTTTAAATTTATTTTTTTAATAATTGCACTATAATTTTTTAAATTAAATTTAATTTTTAAGTTTAAATCTTTTGAACCAATTGATCATACAAAAAAATCGACCCAAACCAATACAAATTGAGTGGGTCGGTTTTCACAAAAGGTTAGCAGGTTTCAATTAACCAACTCCCCAACATGACCGGGTCAATTCGGTTGGTCAAATAGCCTACGACCGAACCAAACCAACTCATGAACACTCATAATTTTAGCTAAATTAATAGTCTCATAAGTTATAACAAAAATACAATAAGTACAATAAATAAAATTTAAAAATTTCACTAATAGTAGTTTAATCTCCAATAATGATTGAAAGTTTTCTATTAAATAAAAAAACAAAATAAATTTATACATAATCATTGAAAATAAATTTATGAAAGCAACAATAAATAATTACTGAAATACAATAAATATTAATTTTAGTATATATAACTATATAATAAATACAGATTACAAGTTTGAAATTATTATTAATAAATATTTTAAAGTTATTTTCTCAAATTATTACTTGATATAAATGAAATTAGTTATTTACAATATTAAGTAAAATATTAAACCATTATTAATTTCAATATTATGTTATAATTATTTTTCTACTTTTAGAATTTTTTAAATTTATTACATAATTTCTTTATTTTAAGTATTTAAAACTTTTTATTTAAAATACCTAGTTATTTAAATACTTAAATAATACGTAAAATATTTAAATTTTAAAATATTAGTTATTTATGGAATTTAATTATCCATAAAATCATAATTTATACTATTATTACATAATTCCATTATTAATTTTTTAATATATTAAATTATTATTAATTTAAATACTATATTATAATTATTTTTCTACTTTAAAGATTTTTTTTAATTTATTACACAATTTCGTTATATTAACTATTTAAAATCTTGTTATAATAAATATCTAGTTATTTAAATATTTAAATAATCTATAAAATATTTAAATTTTTTTGTTATTTGAATTTTATTTATTTAAAGCTATTACATATTATTAAATGTTTGAAAAACATTTAAATTGATGGTCCAGAAAAATATAATTTAAATTGTTAGTACATAATTTGGTGATATATTTTGTAGAAATATAAAATTATTTATTAGATAATTTTTTTATTTTAACTATTTAAAGTATAGTTATGATAAATATTTAGTTATTTAAATATCTAAATAATTTATAAAATATTTAAATTCTTTTGTTATTTGAATTTTATTTAGTTAAAGCTATCAGATATTATTAAATATTTGAAAATAATTTAAAGTGATAACCCGGAAAAACATAATTTAAATTGTTAGTACATAATTTCTTGATATATTTTGTAAAAATATAATTTTTTTTGTGTTTTAATAAATATCTTAAAGTTATTATATAATTTTGTTAGAATATTTATATAATTATTAAATTTTTTAATCCAAACTTTCTTTAGATAGATATAGATAAAAAGTAGGTGAGAGGATAAATAGGAATTAGAGATAATTTAGGAGAGAAACTCTCTACTAAATTAGAGATAATTATGGAGATAAATAGGAATTAGAGATAATTTAGAAGATAAATAGGAATTAGAGATAATTTAGAATATAAATAGGAATTAGAGATAATTTAGAAGATAAATAGGAATTAGAGATAATTCTGGAGAAAGTGGGGGATGTAGTTTTGGATAAATTTTAGGAGAATAGATTATTTAGGTTATTGGGAAAGTGCATATCATTGGTTGTTTCAAAAATGACTTGGAATAAAAAACAAAAAATTCAAAAAAAGGAGAAAATTTCTTGACCGCTTTGTTTTATATATACATATATATATATATATATATATATTACATAATTTCATTATTAATTTTATAATATATTAAATTATTAATAATTTGAATATTATGTTATAACTATTTTTCTACTTTGAATAATTTTTTTAAATTTATTATATAATTTCGTTATTTTAACTATTTAAATCTAGTTATGATAAATATTTAGTTATTTAAATATTTAAATAATCTATAAAATATTTACATAATTTAAATTTTATTTAATTAAATTGATAATCAGTAAAAAATAATTTAAATTGTTAGTACATAATTTCGTGATATATTTTGTAAAAATATAATTTTTGTGTTTTCAATATATTTTTAAAGTTATTATATAATTTTGTTAGAATATTTAAATAATTCTTAATTTTTTAATCCAAACTTT